GCTAACACGGTGAAATCCTGTCTCTACTAAAATAAATACAAAAAAATTAGCCAGGCATGGTGGCAGGCCCCTGTAGTCCCAGCTACTCAGGAGGCTGAGGCAGGAGAATGGCATGAACCTGGAAGGTAGAGCTTGCAATGAGCCGAGATTGCGCCACTGCACTCCAGCCTGGGTGGCAGAGCAAGACTCCATCTCAAAACAAGAAAAAATAAAAATAAAAAAGACATTTATGCAGCCAACAGACATATGAAAAAATGCTCATCATCACTGGTCATCAGAGAAACAAAAATCAAATCCACAATGAGATACCATCTCATGACAGTTAGAATGGTGATCATTAAAAAGTCAGGAAACAACAGATGCTGGAGAGGATGTGGAGAAATAGGAATGCTTTTAAACTCTTGGTGGGAGTGTAAATTAGTTCAACCATTGTGGAAGACAGTATGGCAATTCCTCAAGGATCTAGAACTAGAAATACCATTTGACCCAGTGATCCCATTACTGGGTATATACCCAAAGGATTATAAATCATTCTACTATAAACAACACATGCCTACATATGTTTATTGCTATTCACTATTCACAATAGCAAGGACTTGGAACTACCCCAAATGTCCATCAATGATAGACTGGATTAAGAAAATGTGGCACACATACATTATGGAATACTAGGCAGCCATAAAAAAGGATGAGTTCATGTCCTTTGCAGGGACATGGATAAAGGTGGAAGCCATTATTCTCGGCAAACCAGCACACAGACAGAAAACCAAACACCGCATGTTCTCACTCATAGATGGAAATTGAATAATTAGAACACTTGGACACAGGGTGGGAAACGTCACACACCGGGGCCTGTTGGGGAGGTGGGGGGCTAGGGGAAGGATAGCATTAGGAGAAATACCTAATGTAATTGACGAGTTGATGGGTGCAGCAAACCATCATGGCACATGTATACCTATGTAACAAACCTGCACATTGTGCACACGTACCTTAGAACTTAAAGTAAATAATAATTTTAAAAAAACAACAACAAAAAGGCAAATACCACAAATTAATAACGGGCAAAGGATTTGAATAGACAAATACCAAGATGATACACAAATGGCCAATTAATACATGAAAAATGTTCAACATCATTAGTCACTAGATCAGTGCAAATAAAAACCACATGTGATAGAACTTCATACACACAAGGATGACTATAATTTAAAGGGAAGAAAATAACAAGTGTTGGCAAGGATGTGGAGAAACTTGATTCCTCATACATGGCTGTTGAGAATGCAAAGTGCTGCAACCACTTTAGAAAAAGTTTGGGATTCTCTCAAAATAGAGTTATCGTATGACTCAGCAATTCCACTCTTAAGTATATACCTGAGAGAACAGAAAACATATGAGTACACAAAAACTTGCACATAATGTTCACTGGAACTTTACTCATATTTGCCAAAAGGTAGAAACAACACACATGTCTGTCAAGGATGAATACATAAACACAATGTGGAATATCCATGAATTAGTCAGTTCTCACACTGTTATTAAAGACATACTTCAGAGGGTAATTTATAAAGAAAAAGAGGTTTAATAGACTTACAGTTCCACATGGTTGGGGAGGACTCACAATCATGTGGAAGGCAAAGGAGGAGAAAGTCATGTCTTACATGGCGGCAGGCAAGAGAGCATGTGCAGGGAAACTACCCTTTATAAAACCGTTAGATCTTGTGAGACTTATTCACTATACTGAGAACAGCATGGGAAAGACCCACCCCCACAATTCAATTACCTCTCACTGGGTCCCTCCCACAACATGTGGGAATTATGGGAGCTACAATTCAAGATGAGATTTGGGTGGGGACACAGCAAACCATGTCATTCTGCCCCTGGCCCCTCTCATGTCTCATATCTTCACATTTCAAAACCAATCATGCCTTCCCAACAGTCCCCCAAAGTCTTAACTCATTTCAGCATAAAGTCAAAAGTCCACAGTCCAAAGTCTCATCTGAGAAAAGGCAAGTTCCTTCCTCCTATGAGCCTGTAAAATCAAAAGTAAGTTAGTTACTTCCACAAAACAATGGGGGTACAGGCATTGGGTAAATATACCCATTGCAAATGAGAGAAACTGGTCAAAATGAAGGGCTGTAGGACCCATACAAGTCCAAAATCCAATAGGGCAGTCATTAAACATTAAAGTTCCAAAATGATCTCCTTTGACGTCATGTCTCACATCCAGGTCATGCTGATACAAGAGGTGGGGTCCCACAGCCTTGGGCAGTTCTGCCCCTGTGGGCTTGAAGGGTGCAGCCCTTCTCTTGGTTGTTTTATGGGTTGGCATTGAGTGTGTGCAGCATTTCCAGGTGCATGGTACAAGTTGTCAGTGGATCTACCATTCTGGGGTCTGGAGGATGGTGGCCTTCTTCTCACAGCTCCACTAGGCGGTGCCCCAGTGAGCACTCTGTTGGGAATCTGACCCCACATTTCTCTTTTACACTGCCCCAGCAGAGGTTCTCCATGAGAGACCTGCCCCTGCAGCAAACTCCTGCCTGGGCATCCAGGTATTTCCATACATCCTCTGAAATCTAGGTGGAGGTTCTCCAACGTCAATTCCTGAATTTTGAGCACCTGTAGGCCCAACACCACGTGTAAGCTGCCAAGGCTTGGGGCTTGCACCCTATGAAGCAATGGCCTGAATTGTACATTAGCCCCTTTTACCCATAGTGGGAGATGAAGCAGCTGGGACACAGGGCACCATGTTCCAAGGCTTCCCAGAGCACTGGGGTCTTGGACCAGGCCCATGAAACCAATTTTCCCTCCTAAGTCTCCAGGCCTGTTATGGGAGGAGCTGCCATGAAAATCTCTGACATGGCCTGGAGACATTTTTTTCGTCTTGGTGATTAACATTTGGATCCTTGTTATTTATGCAAACTTCAGCAGGCTTAAATTTCTCCCCAGGAAGTGTTGTTTTCTTTTATATAGCATCACCAGGCTGCACATTTTTCAAACTTTTCTGCTTCACTTCCTCTTGAATGCTTTGCTGCTTAGAAATTTCTTCTGCCAGATACCCTAAATCATCTCTCTCAAGTTCAAAGTTCCACAGATCTCTAGGGCAGGGGCAAGATGCCGCCAGTCTCTTTGCATAGCAAGAGTGACCTTTGTTCCAGTTACCAAGACATTCCTCATCTCCATCTGGGACCCCCTGAGCCTGGACTTCATTTTTCATATCCCTATCAGAATTTTGGTCAAACCCATTCAACAGATCTCTAGGAAGTTCCAAACTTTCCCACATCTTCCTGTCTTCTGAACCCTTCAAGTCTCTAGGAAGTTGCAAACTTTCCCACATTTCCTATCTTCTTCTGAGCCCTCCAAACTGTTCCAGACTCACCTGTTACCCAGTTCCAAAGTCGGTTCCAGATTTTTAAGTATCTTAACAGCAGCACCCGACTCTACTGGTACCAATTAACTGTATTAGTCAGTTCTCATGCTGTTATAAAGACATATCTAAGACTGGGTAATTTATAAAGAAAAAGAAGTTTAATGGAATCACAGTTCCACAAGGCTGGGAAGGCCTCAAAATAATGGGGGAAGGCAAAGGAGCAGAAAGGCACACCTTACATGGTGGCAGGTAAGAGAGCTTATGTGGGGGAACTACCCTTTATAAAACCATCAGATCTTGTGAGACTTACTCACTATCATGGGAGCAACACAGGGAAGTCCTGCCCCTGTGATTCAATTACCTCCCACTGGATCCTTCCCACAAGATGTGGGAATTATGGGAGCTACAATTCAAGATGAGATTTGGATGGGGACACAGCCAAACTATATCAATTCATATATAAAATGCTACTTGACAATAAAAAATGAATGAAGTACTGATACATGCCTCAACTTGGATAAATCTTAAAAACATCGGGCTATGTTAAAGAAACCAGACATAAAAAGGCCATATATTATGTTATTCCACTGATGTAAAATGTCCAGGGTAGGCAAATCTGTAGAGAAAATTGATTAGTAATTGATAAAGGTTGAAGTATAAGGGTATGTGGAGTGGTTGCTTATGGGTATGGGGTTTCTTTTTGGTGTGGTAAAATACTGTATGAATGTATAAAAACTGGTGAATTGTCTACTTTTAAAAAGATGAATGTTATAGTATAACTTATATCTCAATTTAAAATATCCAATATGTAAAGTTTACAGATTTTAATGTCATTAACCTAAACAGAGTTTTGGGATTTTCACCTGTGCTTTGTTTTGCCTGCTCTTAATTTGATCAATACTGTGTGTTATGAACAGAAGTGCTTAGAGCATTAATCTCATTTGTGTACATCAGAGAAGATCCACCACTGATAATTTCTTCATTTATATTTACTTTCTTCTGCATTAAACATTTATTCATGTTTAAAATTTAAAAATGAAACAAAATTGATTACAACATTACAACTCATCAGCACTCTCAATAATTCACAATCCTGCAGCAGTAAAAGATGCAGCAGTGATAGTCCACCATTAATGAGTGTGGCACAGAAAATAGACTTCTGGTTATTTATTATTCTATTGATGTTGACTTTAACATACACTCCTTTATTTCCCACTCCACTAAACGTTTCTGGAAAGCCAAATGAGTGGAAATGATGTTTGTAAAGGGATGAACTTGAAATAGTGGATTGATGTCAAACTTTGACACTATTAGCAAATGAATTATAAGAAACACTGGAGCTGAGATCTTGAAGACAGTGCAGCCTCAGGTTACTGAAATATTTACTTCCTAAAATAGCCTCCTAAAAATAGTGTTTCATATTGCACTATTGTGTTCACATCATCATTCTCTACCATTATTCAGCTCTGCTACTCTTTTAATTCGTGTTTCCTTGGAGTTACAGACATCACTTTTGGGAAGTATACTGTGTGCTGTAGGCACTCTGGGGATTAAAGAGTATGCAGAAACTTTTAGCTCATTGTTTCTATTGGGTACTCTCAAAGTGCTGATAAGACAGGCTGCCAAAAGAGTATTTTCTAGACATAACACTAAAGCGGATGCAGAGCTACTGAGCCACTCTCTATTCCCTGTCTAAAGCATCTCCACCCTTTCATTCTAAGCAGGTACCCTGCTTCTAATACCACAAAAAGCAGGATATAGATGAATTGTTAGCTGCCTAGATGCCGAGACCCGACTACCTCTATTGTTGCAACATCAAGAGATTGCACTATAAGGTAAGCAATGCAGGTACTGTGTTACTGTCATTATTTGTCTTTTAAAGTTGATACAACTAAGTTAGCACCACAGAAGGATGCAACCCCTTCAGTGGAGGCTTCATGAGTAGGCAGCACCCTTTCCTTGCCCAGGCACTGCCAAGATATTATTCAGTTTTCCTCTGGCTTTCACTGTTAATATAAGAAATCAGTAGTTTCCTTTGTGGGTTAACTGCTTTTTTTTTTTTTTTTTTCCCTCTCTCTGACTGCTTTTAGGTTAACCTTTTTGTCATTGGTGCTTTTCATTTTCATTTTCTTTTCTTTTCTTTTTTTTTTTGAGACAGAGTCTTGTTCTGTCACCCAGGCTGGAGTGCAGTGGCATGATCTCGGCTCACTGCAAGCTCTGCCTCCCGGGTTCAAGTGATTCTCCTATCTCAGCCTCCCGAGTAGCTGAGCTTACAGGTGCCCACCACCACACTTGGCTAATTTTTGCGTTTTTAGTAGAGACTGGGTTTCACCATGTTGGCCAGGCTGGTCTCGAACTCCTGACCTCAAGTGATCTGCCCACTTTGGCCTCCCAAAGCGCCAGAATTACAGGTCTGAGCCACAGCATCAACCTTTCAGTTTCATTATGATAGATCTTTGTATCGATTACTTATTCATTGCGTTTGAATTCATCGTAATGCCAGAATCTGAAGGTTTATATCTCTCAAAATATTTTCTTTTTTAAAAAAAATATTTTATTTTAAGTTCTCAGATACATGCACAGGACATGCAGGTTTCTTACATAGGCAAATGTGTGCCATGGTGGTTTACTGCAACTATCAACCCATCACCCAGGTATTAAGCATGTGTTCTCATTGCCCTCAACAAGGTTTTCTATAAATGGTATCCAAGAAATGTGAACAGTAACTAGAAGGGGATGTGAGGAAGAGGAAGGTTTAGCTTGTTTAAGATTCGAGAAATAATAGCATACATGTTACTAAGGGATCTGACCTAGTAAAGAAAAATTGGTGATGCAGTGGGGAAAGATTACTGTAGTGAAGTCCTTGATCAACTAAGAGAAGATGAGATTGTGTCGGGATGGAGGAATTAGCCTTAGAAAGGAGGACCAACAGTTACTGTAAAAGAGAGAAGATAGGGTGTATGAGTACATATGTTTTGTTGGGCACACTGGGTGGAGGTGAGAGTTTGTAGATTGTTTGTTATTAAATTATTTCTGTGTTTTCAATAAAGATTTTGTCAAGTTGGCTCCTTCATATGTTTCCATGCAGATTATATGGAAGATCAATTTGTGTCAGAAATTTGCAATAAGCTTAGAAAAAAATGCTGCTTATCTAGAGCAGTGATTCTCAATAGGGGTGATATTATCCCCAGGGGACATCTAATATGTCTGGAGATATTTTGGTTGGCCCACCTGCTGGAGGACTGCTGGCATCCAGTGGGTAGAGGTCACAAATGCTTCCAAGCACCTGCACAGGCAAGCCCCATAAAACAGAAAACTGCGTGGCCCAAAATGTCAATAGTGTTGAGGTTGAGAAACCCTGATCTAGAGCAGTGGTAGGCAAATTTTTTTTTTTAGAAAGGAAAATAGAAAACATTTTAGGATTGGAAGCCATTTGGTTTCTGTTGTAACTACTTAATTCCGCGATTGCAGTGTGAAAGGTGCCATAGACAAAATACTAATAAGTGGTCCTGGCTGTATCCCAATAAGCTTTATTTATAAAAACAGGCAGGTGGCCCATGGGCAGAGTTTGATAACCTCTGATCTAGAGGACTCTTTTGCTTTTTCTGCAACTATCTAAGAAATAGAGGCAGAGTTTGAACTAATCATAGATGGTAGCCATGATTAAAACTTCTTCATTCCTGGTAAGTATCGATGCTTTGATATGTTGGCTGTCCCCCTATTTGGTGCTTAGTGAATACTTTAAAATCCAGACTTAAATAAGTCAGTAAGTCACTAGTTCTCAATTTCAAAGTTAAATTTTCTTCTCTCATTTGCCCACCGCCCCCGCCACCTGAGGTGGTCTAATAGCCCCTCTTCTTAGTCACATGTTTAGGATTGCTATTATCCAAAAGATAATAAGCATTGGCAAGGGTGTGGAGAAAAGGGAACTCTAGTATACTGTTGGTGGGGACGCAGATTGGTATAACCATTATGGAAAACAGTATGGAGATTCCTAAAGAAATGAAAAATGGGACTCCCATACAATCCAGCAATCCCTCTTCTAGGTATATATCCAAATGAACTGAAATTAGCACTTCATAAAGATATCTGCACTCCCATGTTCAGTGTAGCATTATTCCCAATAGCCAAGATATGGAAACAACCTAGTATCCATCAACAGGTGAATGTATAAAGAAAATGTGATACATATGCAGTTAAATATTATTCAGCCTTAAAAATTTGCCATTTGCTACAATTATGCTAAGTGAAATAAGCCAGATACGGAAAGAAAAATATTGCATTATCTCATTTTTAGTGGAATCTAAAATAAAATGATCAAATACAGCCATGCATCACTTAACAATGGGGATATATTCTAAGAAATGCATTGTTAGGTGATTTCATTGTTGTGTGAAGAGCATAGAATGTACCTACACAAACCAAGATGGTAAAGCCTACTACAGACTACACACCTACATGGCATAACCTATTGCTCCTAGGTTACCAACCTGTACAGCATACTACTGTACTAATACTGTAGGCAATTATGATGATAAGTATTTGTGTATCTAAACATATCTAAACATAGAAAAGGTACAGTAAAAAAAGGGCATAAAATATTTTTTTAAATGGCATACCTGTATAGGGCACTTCCCATGAATGGGGCTTACAGGACTCGGGGTTGCTCTGGGTGAGTCTGTGAGTGAGTGGTGAGTGAATGTGAAAGTCTAACACATTATGGTACACTACTGTAGACTTTATAAAACTGTACACTTGGGCTACACCAAATTTATTAATTTTTCTTTCTAAAATAAACTAAGTTTATTGTATCTTGTTAACTATATACATTTTTAAATTTTAAAAACTTTTTTGACTCTTTTGTAATAACATCTTAAAACACAAACACATTATACAGTTCCACAAACAAATTTTTCCTTGTATTCTTACTCTGTAAGCTTTTCTATTTTTTAAATGTTGCTTTTTTTTTTTCTATTTAAACTTTTTTGTTAAAAATTAAGACACAGACCCACCCATTAGCCTAGGCCTACACAGGGTCAGGATCATGAATATCACGGTCTTCCACCTCCACATCTTGTCTCACTGGAAGGCCTTCAGGGACAATAACACTCGTGGAGCTGTCATCTCCTGTGATGCCAATGCCGCCTTCTGGATTACCTCCTGAAAGACCTGGCTGAGACTGTTTTACAGTTAACTTTTTTTGAATACGTAGGAGTACATTTTAAACTAGCAATAAAAATATATAATACAGTAAACACATAACCAGTAACAGTCATTTGTTATCATTGTTAAGTATTATGTGTGACACATAATTGAATGTGCTATGCTTTTACATGACTGGCAGCACAGTAAGTTTGTTTACACCAGCGTCACCACAAACACTTGAGTAATGAATGCACTGTGACTGCTATAACATCACTAGACTATGGAAAATTTCCAGCTCCATTATTATCTTATAGGACCACTGTCGTATAAGCAGTCCATTGTTGACTAAAACATCATTATTGATGCTCGACTGTATACAGAGATAGAGAACAGTGGGGTGCGGGAGAGGGGAGAAATAGGGAGATACAGGTCAAAGGATACAAAGTAGCAGATATGTAGAGTGAGCAAGTCTAGACATCTACAGATGTGCAACATGAGAATTATAGTTGATAAAATTGTATTATATTAGAGATTTTGTTAAATAAATAAATTTAACAAAAAAGCTTATAAAAGTAACTGCATGAGGTGATTGCTATGTTAACCTACTTCACTATAGTAAATATTTTATTATTTCTATAGTTCCCATAACATAATGCTGTAAACCTCAAATATACAAAATAAAATTTATTTGTTAAAAAGCTGGCCCCCACATCTCTATTGACATCATTTTGAATTGTTGTTTTGGTAACCTACTATCCTCCAGACTTGGCAGTAAATCTTCTGTCTAGATTAATTTAATGTTATTTGAACTGTAGCATCTTTTATGAGGTAGCAAATAAAATTGAAGCCTCAGAATATTTTATAAAAAAAAAATAGAAGACCTTTGGAGTTAAATGATCTTGAGTTCCAGTATCAGCTCATCCATTTATTAACTTGGAACTGAGAAGTAATTTATTTAACCACTTGAGCTTCATTATCTTAAACAGCAAATTTCTAATTCACAAAATTGTTAAGGGGATTTTATTAGATAATAAAACCAAAGTTTGAAACTCAGTGACCACCACAAGGTAGCTTTTTAGTAATTAGTGGCTTTTAGCAATAGTATTATTATTACCAAACTACTTGAGAAAATCCAAATATTTCTGAGGCAATTAGACTTTTCCCCAAACATTTTGCATTTTAAACAAGATGCTTCACTTATTTAAACAATGAGATGCCTGATAGACTATTCTGTAAAAACAAATACTAATCCTGTGGTATTTCTTTGTGCCTAAAATAGTTTTTGCATGTTTCTGCTTGTAGAAAAATGTCACACTTTCAATTTTCCAAGTACAAATTGTCAGACAAGTCCTATGTAAAAAAGAACTGTTTTCTGAATTAGTAAATACAAGAGAAGTTGGTAAAATCTTCCGTATTTCACTTTGTTTCTCATAGTTACTTAGCCACCAGCTAGTACTTTTGAAAAATCTCCTTTGAATAATAAATACTATTGAGATTTGTGTTTATTACTAAATTGAGGATTAAATATGCAGTCACTATTTCCTAAATGACACAATTGAAACCTAGGTAAAATTACCTCATTGCCATGAAGAGACCAATGTTTGGCCCTTCCTGTTTATGTGCTGTTACTTACGCATAATATAGTCATAAGAAAGTCCCTGAGACTGGGATTGCAAATATGAGTGTGTAA